ACACATTACCAATGAGTCCTTTCGTGAGAGTAGAGTCCAATTCTAGAGCCGCAAGCCTTACTGCAGATGCTGCATTGATAAAGTGGGTTCTGAGTGCAACTGTTGGTCTTCATCTTGGCACGCTTCCCAATGAGGAGATTGGTATGCCTGTTCTCACAAAACATCGATGCAGGTTCAACCTCCAGGTTGCACGGGCTTGGGTAGTACTTTCCCAGCTATCAAGGCCGATGCCATATCTCTTGAGATTGCATTTAACAGTATTCGTGTACCTCAGTATCGGTTTGCCTAGTGGTCTGCTGCCTCGCTCTAATTCACTGAAGAAGTGAATATATATATATATATATATATATATATATATATATATAAATTTGTTTGAGAATCTGATATATATATATATATATATATATATATATATATATATATATATATATATACTAGCTTAAAAGTCACCCTGTCTGACGGCATTTAAGCTAGCTCCTGCAGAGGGCACTTGATGGGGTTTTTTCATCACAATAGGTAAGAAGGAGTAGATGAGATAGGCAACAATAAACTACAGAAGAATTCAAAAGTGATTGCTGCATTTAAGTATTGCATTAATATTCAAGCTTACCTTTTAAAAGTTTAACGATAATTCTTCTGCCGCCATTTAATTTAAGGAAAATTTGATGTACGTAGGTCCTTACTTTCCGTACAAATAATTATTTTGATTTCATTGATGACTTTCGCTGGATTTCGCAATAATTTCGATTATTCCCAAATTTATTCCCAAGTTATAAAAATTGTTATCGTACAAAAAAACAAATGTCACAAAAAACACGTAAAAAATCGCCGAAAACAGTCGCAGTAATAAAAACTTGCGAATTCAAAATTTCACGATTGCGGGTTCGCATCCAGACCGGAATGTTTTTAATTTGCTTACGGTGTCGGCCTGATTCTCAAATGGTATGTTATGTTGGGCTACGGGCTATAGGAGTAAAGTTGAAAAACTGTGACACACACACACATATGTACAGGGTGTGATGGGTAAATTGTCGCAATTTTAAATTTTAAATTCCGCGCATGCGCGTTGTTTGTTTTTGATTTTGTTGACCGCACAGCATAGAAGGTTCAGTTGGTCACCGTCTGTGACTAAAAGATCGCCATGACGTAATTCACTCCCCCCCCAGAAATTTGTAAACGGCATGCTGCACCGCTTGGCATTTGCGTCTGAAGCTCCAATATGAACATTTCCGAGTGTTTCGGTGTCAAGCCGGGTAGAGACCGCATAGAAAATGACCCTCGGTCAGGTCGCCCAAAACCTCAACCACTGATAAACAAGTTGATGCCATTCACCGCGTATGGTTTTGGATGACAGACGTGTTACTGTCCATGGATAGCTAAGTCCATAGGCATTAGTTCTCGTTCAATCCATACTGTTTGAACTGACATCTTGGGGATGAGCAAGCTGTCTGCAAGATGGCACCAAAGAATGGTGATACCACAAATGTTCAATGGCTCTTTCTTTCTGGTTGAGGCAAAAAATGCAATCATTTGCTTTGATGTTCATTTTCCTTTACAATTATTTTGGTCCATACTGTTTGAGCTGACATTTGGGATGAGCTCTTCTTTCTTTTTTGAGGCAAGGCAAATGCAATCATTTGCTTTGATAAAGTTCATTTTCCATAGATTTCCTTTAGATAGATAAACCCATAGTTATTAGTTCTGGTTTGGTCCATACTGTTTGAACTGACATCTTGGAGATGAGCAAGCTGTCTACAAGATTGGTCCCAAGAATGCTGACACTAGAGCAGAAGTTAAAAAGGGTTTGACATTTCCAGAACATTTCTGACTCGCTTCCAGGCTGAAAGAGATTCAGCTTCCAAAGATTCAAACCAAACAGTAGAAACCTTAAGTTGATTTTTAATTTTTAATTAATATTTTTATTCCAGCTTCATAAAATATTTTGAAAGTGATTGTGATTCGTTTAATAAAGTGTTTTCTTAATGATTATATAGTTTAATTAAGATTTGTCGATTATCTGGAAAAAAGATAATTTTTTAAATATTATTTTAGGGGTTGATTTACTTCATATTTAGAGATATGATCAGATTGCGAGGGCTTAGTCACAATAGATCGCAGTGTGGTGGCTGCTCTACTAAAACAGCCCGACCCTGAAGTCAAGTGGTCTACGAGCGATCACTCGTCTCACCCTCCACGGGGGGTTCGAAATAAGAGGCGACGGCAAAATCCCGCCTTTCGCGGATGTCAAATCGGGTGTATCGCTCCCAGACGCCGCCGCGTGCAAAGCGACAGTAGCCGAAGTGGATGCGCGTGGCGACGACGAGCGCCTCCGACGAGCGCCTCCGACGAGCGCCTCCGACGAGCGCCTCCGACGAGCGCCTCCGACGCAGACCCCGACAATCGCAGCCGCAAATTGCGCTCATCTCCTCTGTTTTCACCTGCTTGCTCTGCCACTACAGCCCATAGGAATCACTTCTTCCGTCTGTATCGGAGCGACAAATATGATTGCAACAGACGTCTCTTTGTATCTGCTCATAATGCAAGCGTGTCCTCAATGAAGCAAAGTTACTGTTTGATGATCGGATGAAACAACGTACTGCATTTCGCAAGTTTGGTTCTAAAGATTATTGGCGGCTCTACAAGAGGGTGCTGAATTATAGAAAATCCTCAATCCGTCTTCTATTCAATCAATTCGAAGTCCTAATATCCTCACCTGATAAGGCGGAATGTTTTGCTCGGAAATTCTCACCCAACTCAACACGCGATTCTGACAAACATGGTTTTCGCTTTGCCCGATTTACCGCTGATGTGCTTACGTCCATAACTGAATATGTATACCAACCTCTTGATAATAACAGCGAAGCTCGAGCTGTTGCTTTAGATATATCGAAGGCGTTTGACAGGATTTGGCATGCTGACCTTCTACGTTAGCTTCAGGGATACTGAACGATTAGTTAATGCACGATTATTTGATTTAATCTAATAATTTCTGCCTAACCGGAAAATGAAGTTTGTCCTGAACGAGTTCTCATCTAGATCCTTCCATGCGCACATTGGTGTTTCTCAAGGCTCTATCTTTTGTCATTAATGATGTCATCCTGATGTCATCAGTTCCCAAGTAGGCATTTATGCAGACGACACTACCATTTACTCCTGTCTCAATAGTAAATCCGGCATTGCTGACAAAGTTAACTTGGCTGTTTATCACGAAAATGACCTCCAATCTGTGGTTGACTGGGGCAGGAAATGGTTTGTGAATTTTAATGTTTTATCGTCTGAGTACATGCTTCCCATCTACAAATCTACCATTCGTCCATGCATGGGATACTGTTGCCATATATTGTCTGATGCCCTCGCTGTTAATCTCACCAAAATCCAAAGATGGATATGCAATGTGTTAGATCCTGACTTGGGGGTCTAGATTCCAGTCCCTTTCTCACTGATGTAATGCCACTTCCATCTGACTTTTCTATACCTATTTTCATGGCATCTGCTCTGACGAAATATTCTCACTGCAGCCCCGACCGCATGAATTTGAAGTTGGCATCTCGGTCCCCATCCTTTTACTGTTCATACCCGTTCTTTCTTTTTATCCTTTCTTCACCCACTATACCCAGTCTTTTCTGTCACTTACACTCTCTGTAGCCACTTGCGTACTAGGGGCACCTCTGCCTTGCTTAGGGGGGGGATTGTTTAATATCTATCTATCTATCTATCTATCTATCTATCTATCTATCTATCTATCTATCTATACACCCTGGTCAAAATATTAAGACCATATACAAAAGGGTTAAAAAATACTTTTAATTGATTAATTTAAACAAACATTGAAAAAAAGATTTTTGGGGTTGGTCATAAAGATAAGACCATGTAAATAAAAATAGTAAATACAGAACAAATAAGTCACAACTACAATTTAATTCTCAGTATATCCGCCATTTTGGCAAATTACTTCAAAAATTTGCTTTGGGATTATTAACTTCTGCATGAGGGTGCTTGGGATGCTCGCCCAGGATGCATAAACTGCAGCATGATCAGCATCCACAGTTTCAAATTCCGATCCATGTTTATAAATATCCTTTGCCATCCATCCCCAAACATTCTCGATTGAGTTTTGATCTAGAGAACATTCTGGATTGCAGTATTGTCCTGCTGGAAAACCCAGTTTTCTCCACACAGATGAGGGCCTTCAGTAATTAGCAATGCCTTTCTTAACATGGCAATGTAACTAGCAGCTGTTTGATGACCTTTTACCTCCTGTAACTCAAGAGTTCCATTTTGTGAAAACAAACCCCAGACCATAAATGATCCACCTCCACTGCTGTGTTGACAAAATTTCTTTTGGGACATCTTTTGCATGCCAGTAATGCTGAAAACCGTCTGGTCCATCAAGGTTGAATTTTTTCTCATCTTTTCTGATTTTTTTTTTAGAAGCATACGCATCTGGATTTTTAATGAAGTTAGCAATGACAGTTCTGCTACGGCCAATTTCATTTGCCACGTTTTTAAAGTTCAACAATCCTGCCCTGTTCAAACTTTGTTAAAATTTTACCCTTAGCCATTTTAAAATCTGAAATTTAATACTCGAAATGAGCTATGAGCACACTGACTAGTTCTAAAATTTTTGTCCAGTAATTTGTTTTTTTTTTCACACATGATCTTATCTTTATGAACAAACCCCACAAAAAAAAACTTTTTCAATGTTTGTTTAAATTAATCAATTAAAAGTTTGTTTGTTGATAAATTACATTTTCTAATTAAATGTAAATGTTTCACAAATATATTTTGATTAAAGTAACAGTATTTTAAATTTTTAACCCTTTCGTATCTGGCGTTAAGATTTGAACCAGGGTGTATATATATATATATATATATATATATATATATATATGTGTGTATGTGTGTATGTGTGTGTGTGTGAGTGTGAACAAAGATAGATAGATGTGAATAAAGATAGATAGATAGATAGGAACAAAATGAGATAGATTTTAACATAGGTATTAATAGAGTGATGCAGACATGTACTGACTGAGGTAGAGGGATAGATATAAGCAGAATGTGATAGATAGATAGATAGATAGATAGATATGAACAGAATGAGATAGATATATCAACAGACACACAGATAGATTCCTTAATGAGGAATATGAGAAAAGAGGCTAGGAAATATTTCATTGTCATAATCGAGAGTAATGGGATTTTGCCTGTTTCAAAACTGTATATTTAGACACCAATTCAAACTGGTAACTAGAAATATGTATAAGAAGAGAGAGATGGGGGAGGGAGAGAGTAAGAGAGTGACTAAGAGTGAGTGAGAGATTGCTATGATAAATATTTTGCTTACACTGAACGTTGCTTCACGAGTTGATCTTCGATAGACACGACTTGAACTTTTAATTCAGCGTTTTCTTTATTTGTCGCTTGAAGCCGTTTTTTGGTTTCGTCGATTTCAACTTGATAGGTTGCCTTCAATGGTTCCGAATTAAAAACTTTCTCCTTCTTCTTGAGCGATTCACGAAGCGCTTTGTTCTCAGTTTCCAGGGTTCGAACCCGTGATATGTAAACCGCCAGTCTATCATTCAGGTTTTGCATTAACTTCTTTTCGTCTTGTCGCTTATTTCTCACCTCATCGGCCTCTGTGTATGCCATGTTGCCGGCCAACCCCGCGGCTATGACCAAGGGTGAGCGGTGAAAAATTCTCTCGGAATCCATTCCGAAGCTTTCGGAGGAAGAATTCATAAATCTTCGGTTCCTAAAAACGTTTTTCTTGTGGAAACGCTCGAAAACATAACACTTTTTTTCCATTTCAGACATTTTTTCCTGATACATATTCATTTGTTGTTAAAATCTGTTAAACGGACAAGTCCTTTGGCGAGTGAAAGCCTTCTCAAATAAGTTCCAAGCTGTGAAGTTGATACGAGTTTGTACACTCTGGCTAATCTGTGACCGTTTTGAATTCTGCTTGCTCCTTTTATAGTTAGATTGAGGACGAAGGGTCATAAAGCGAGTTGGGGTAATGGGGGGGGGTTATATGAAAGCTTAACAACAAATTTATGGCAAAGTTTTTAATAAGTAATTATTGAGTGAAATAAAAGTGAAACAAGAGATTATCGTTTTATATTCCCCATAATATCACTCTTTCTCTATTTCGCACACACACACACACACACACAGACACACACACACAGACACACACACACACATATATATGATCACAATGTTTTAATTAAGGGTTGCTTAGATATTGCAGGTGAGAAAGTGCCATCTACTAAGAGAGATTATAGCGATAAGCATACAACATGAGTACAATGGCAAGAAGGTTCAAATGACTGAAGTGATAAATAAGAAATAAATCACTAAATAACCTCTAGCCCTTAGTATTGCGTTGTCCGGAAAGTTCATGTCGATTTTTAGCCGTTCCTGTTCCAACACGTTAGAACACTTCAAATTTATTGACAGATATAAATAATATGTCTACATCTCTAATCAAAGCACACTTCAAACTATTTCCTGAGAAGGAACATTTTAAATTATTTAATTTGTGTCAATTTTGCATCCCTATATAAATGAAAGATCATAAGGTGTATTTCAGACATTTGGTACTTTTCTTTTTACCGTAAGGGCAAAAAAGGCTGGAAAGCAACAAAAAAGATATAAGTTCTGTACTGAGAAGGTGCTTCGGCTGACAGAACTGTACGGAAGTGTTTCGTTAAGTTTAGAGTTGGTAATTTTAGCCTTATTGATGATGAACGCTCAAGCAGACACCCCACGCCATCACTACCACAGATGGCAACCAAATCAAGACATTGGTTGAGAATAACACGCATTAAACAAGGCAAGAATTGGCAGAAACACTAAATTTATCAAAATCCACCATCCATAAGCACTTAGCGAAGCTTAAGTACTCAAATCGGTACGATGTTTGGGTACCACATAATCTGAGTGCAAAGAATCTTTTGGATCACATTTCATCTATGATTTGCTGTGTAAATACAATGAAAATGCACCCTTTGTGAAGAAATTTGTGACGGATGATGAGAAATGGATCGTTTACAACAATATTCAGCAAAAAAGATCCGCGGTAAGCGACATGAGCCAACATCAACCATCTCAAAAATAGGTCTTCATCCTGATAACGTTGTGCATCTTGTGGTATTGGAAAGAAATCCTGTACTATGAGCTTCTGCCAAGTAACCAGTCAATTGATTATGAAAAAGACTGATCGTAACTGAACGATTTAAAGGCAGAAATTCAAGAAAATACCCAGAATTGGCGAACAGGAAACATGTTGTTTTCCATGTTGTTTTACCAGACCTCACGTTTCTTTGGTGACTCGGCAAAAATTGTAGCAGCTTGGCTGGCATGTGTTACTCCACCTGCCATATTCGCCAGACATTGTTCCTTCCGATATTCATTTATTCAGGTCCTTGCAAAATAATCCAACTGGTAAAAAATTTAATTCCTTGAATGACATAAAAAAAACACATTTCTCTTCCGAGAAACCACCAAAATTCTGAAATGATGGAAGAAAAAATGGAGAAATGCTGTACAACAAAATGGTTGAATAAATATTTAATGGCATAATTTAGTTTTGTGTTTTAATTTCCCTGAAAAATTGGTTTGAACTTTCTGGACAACCCACTAAGAATCAATGTTGGAGTATCAAACCAAAATAATAGATAATTAAGAACAAAAAGAAAAATTAAAGTTAACTAATAAATTTTTTTTTAAATATAAGAAAGAGTGATAATTAACAACAGAGAAAGAAAAAGTTATATTATAAAAAAAATAGTTAAATAAATATGAAAATTCATGCACAGGGACAGGCGTTTTGCCACCAATTGAAACAAAACCAAATTTTTTCTCTCTTCATCTTCGATGGCCAAACGAAGCAGATGTCCAGGGACAGATCTCTAAGAGGTCATGTGGCTACCACCAGATAAGCATAAAATTTTATCCCTCTATACATATATATATATATATAAATATATAATCTTAATGTATATGAAAGCGTTTTGTCGTTTTTGTTTATTCTTATTGTTTTATATCTTGTATATTATTTGTTTGCAATTTATATATTTCCGTTGTGGGGCTGATAATGTCTTTTTAAATCCAAAATAAAATAATATATATATATATATATATATATATATATATAAAAGTACATTCAGACACGGCTGACACATTATCGGCCCACTAAAATTATGCAATATCCATATACATACACCAACGTATATATATATATATATATATATATATATATATATATATATATATATATATATGTGAATTTATGCAGCAATTTTTCATTGATGCATGTTTCATTAAATAATATTCTGTCTATTTTAAGTTAGTGATTTGCAAAAACCAACATAGTTTACAAATTCAAGTGCCCTTTGGGAAATTGTATATCGAATGGATTAAATAATATTTATGTTGGTCACACCACAAACTCGCTTTCACGACGCTTGACTCTACATTTCAATGATGACCCTAACATTTTTAGGCATTTAAAACAACATACCTGGCCACATACACAATTCTAGAAAATCCTCGCTGAAAACGAAACTATACTTAAACATGAAAATAATAAAAAAAACTAAAAATTCTTGAAGCTATTTACATAAAACTGTTGAAACCTAAACTGAACAAAATAAACTATGAAATCTCCACAAATATTCTTAAACGCCTATAATTGATTACAGAAACCATTGGTTTATACCAACGGCTTTCCATACTTATCACTTCTCGTTTTCACTCTCGCGTGGTCTTGTGTGAGATCACGAGCTGCGATGCGATTTTCGCTTCCGCGTCTCGTATACTCGAGTTTGTCGTTGCTTTGAATTTTTTTATTATTGTTTTGTCCGTGTATTGTTTTATATATTGAAATGTAATTGTCATCTTTGATAAGGACTTATGTAAGCCGAAAGCTTAGATAGGATTAAAACATGTATCAATCTGGTGATTTCCTTTCGTCTTTCAATGATAATGTTATTAAGCTTATCAGACAATAGAAAGGAACTTACTTAAAATAAATAGACAAATTTTGTGTATATTATTTAATGAAACATGCATCAATATATATATATATATCATCATCATCATCATCTTGCGGCCTCAGCCGACATTGAACTCACCAATACTTTGATTGGTGTAGTTCATAATCTTGTCAAATAGCTGAATTCTTGATGCTTCGCTAGGGCTATGAAGGGTGTTTTTTATCGTGACACCATCACTAAATGGATTGCCAACCAAGGCTCAGAGAGACGCCATTCACCCTCCTCTAAGAGCAGGTTTGAATTCAGAGTTTTCCTTCTCCTAGACCAGTTGCCATACAAGGCTATAGAACCCAGTCTGTCCTGCTATTTACCCATAGCTGGAGGGAGAAGAGGATTCACACCTTTCCCAAGGGTGTTAGCATGTAAGTGAATGTAATGGACTCGACTGGAATTCGAACTCGGCTCCCAGATCCATCATTACTCCACCGTGCCTCCCTACATGATATCGAGCAGCATATATTTTATATTATAAAGAGGTAATCGTACAACGAGTCAATTAGTAATATTAATGTAATTATTGGCGAATTCTCTTCGCTAACAGACTTAATATAAGCTTTAACTTACAACTGAATGACGCGACCCTTATATATATATATATATATATATATATATATATATATATATATATATAATGTAGTTTTGACTTCTATGTTCACTTTTATATTTACACACGCTCTATCTCTGATAGTGAGCACTTTATCGCATTAAGGCTATATATATATATATATATATATATATATATATATATATATATATATATATATATATATTCATGTCACATTAACTGGAAAACACTTACAGCAAAAGAATTCGTGGTGGATTTATATAAAAAATTCTCACTTGAAATATTTGAACACCATCGTTGCGACTTGAACCTTCCAAAATTATATAACCGTTAATAAATAACACATTCTTAAAAAGGACATCTTTCCTTCTACAATACATTTATTTCGTCTTGTAAATGGGAAAAATTAGATCCTGATGATGAGAACATGAAGTTTTCGAAAGTACTTGCTGCTATAAAAAAATACACCAGATCCACCTGACAACAATTTTATACACAAGGATCGCATCATTCAATGGATTATTAATAAGTTAATGCTTATATTAAGTCTGTTAGCGAAGAGAATTCGCCATTAATTACATTAATATAGCTAATTGATTCATTGTATGATTACCTCTTTATAATATATATATATATATATATATATATAATTGTGTATTTAGGCAGCAATCCTTCTTTTATACAAGTTTCATTAAAATCGACTGAAAAAGTACAGCGGTTAAGTTTTTTTATTTAATTTTTCTTGTGTTCTTATATTTTTCTTGTGTTCTGGGCGCAAATTATGTACAAATTGTCTGAGCTCTTTCGGCCATACTTTTAGCCATTATGATTTTATTTTTACTTTAACTGAATGTATAGGTTTTTATGTATGTATCTAGAGTTATAGGAATGTTTTATTTACCAAAAACGGTCAGCACATTATTGCTATGTTCATAGTTGATGTTCATTACTGAGTGTTATTTTTTCTTTTTTTTTAATAATAATGCATCCATTATTTTTTAGCCATTTTACATGTGGATGAGGCTATTATATTTGTATTATCACCGAGTATGTTGCGGATAGCTTTTGTTAGGTCTCCATGCATATATATATATATATATATATATATGTATATG